GAGGGCGAGGGGGGGCTGCAGGAGGGCGAGGGGGGGCTGCACGAGGGCGAGGGGCGGCTGCAAGAGGGCAGGGAGGGGCGGCTGCTGCAGGGCAGGGAGGGGGGGCTGCAGGGGGGCCAGGGGCGGCGTAGAATGAGGTGGTTGCGGTGTACTCCGGAGTATGCAGTAGATCGTGTGACCGAGAAGTAGCAGGGAGCGGCTGCAGTGGGGCAAGGGGCGGCCGATTACGGTTTCGCCGGACTGTGTAAACGGAGACGGCTGCCATGGAGTAGAGTTGTTTGGCTACCGAGGCTGATGGGCAGGCGCAGAAACAGGCAGCAGGTTCGGGGCGCGGGTCATGTTGGTTTTCTATGATGACGTGAACACGGGGATGATAATTAACCATCCCCTCCCTTTTCGTGATGCTCCATGTTTTTTCATCCAAAAAGTGGCGTTATGTCTAATTCTAGCTCTTCGAAGTACTTTCATCACACTGGACAGATATTACGTCCTGTCGCTGGGTATGCCAAAATTCCGCCTTTTCCCGGACCAGGGGATGGTAACGCACCATCCCCCCCCCATCGAGCGGATTTTTTTTTTTTCTCTCTCCAATGTCATATGTGATCGTTTGCCAAAGTTGTCCGACGTCCACCGTGCCCAAATGGCACGTTTCCGTCAATATTCTTCAAACCTTGCTTATATTCCCGGATTTCCAAACCTTGCTTATATTCTCGGACAGAGGGAGTATGAAAGTTCTCAGAGAGGCAGATGTGGAATATTGGAGGGGTGGGAGCATAGACTTAAGTCAGCAGATGTGTTCATCGTCCGGATCGTCAAGCGAGGGTAGGAGAAACACCATGAGGTTGTTGATGTACTGTCGTGGGGGGCACGGCTGCTTTCCCAATTGAATTCGTTGAATGCAGATTCTTCAACGAGGTGAGCCGCAAGACTTCCGTGCCTATAGTCGCGCGCGGTTACGGCCAAGACGCAACTGCCCGGGGTTTCTGAGCAAGAACCCTTGACAGAGTCACTTCGTGCTCCGACAAACATTCTTTGGCCTGTATGGTCCGGGCTGCCTAAAATCCTCCACTTTTGGATGTATTTTGGTTCCCTTGGTTTCTCGGCATGCATATGATGCCGTCGCCAACGGAAGAGACTATGATTCTGTCACATCACATCACAAAATATTCAGTCGTTAATTTTTTTAGTCGCGTCAGAAACCCCAATTTACAGTTGGGGAAGCTAGAGTGACTAAATTCTGTAGAGAGGAAGACCACCTGTTGAGGAGGTTTATTTTATGTTTCTCGTGTGAATAGAGAGTCTCGTCCCCAGTCCCAAAGCTCAGCGCCTGCTAGCGAGGCATCACGATCATAGGAGGCTGCTGCTGCTGTCCAAAACAACTGCCGCAGAGCAAAACGTGAACTCACGACGCAAGTAAATGAACCCGTGGCGATCTGTGTAGTATATGCTTGTTTTCACCACCACCACCATCACAACGAAGGTCATGCATATAGAAAAGGGCGGGAGTTCCCGTTGTGACCGCTGTGTTGCACTTGCGGCCCAGAGATGAGAACCGTCGGGTGTGGGCAGAGGCTCAAAGTCTCACTATTAACAGGGCTCTAATGGTCTATGGTCATATAAAAATGAAAGGCACGTCTACTGCTGTGGCTAATGAGGTGTAAAATTGAATACAGCACTATCTAATATATCAACCCCGGTGCCAATTGACGGCCGCACCTACACCAACATCGGGAACGGCAGACTCCTAGAAGAACCGCAACCTCCACGGCGCACCTCTCCGTGCGAAATCACCCCTACGCCAATAGAGCATTCAAACCCAACCCACCACGTAGAAACCAACCCATCACCCCGCTCTACGCCGGGGAACGGACTGCTCATGTGAATAACCCTACAATAGAAACCCTTACCACACTCATCACGAAATCAGCGCCAACACTACCACATACCAGGTGCATGCCGCGGCGGCTACTTGCGCTGCCAACCAGAGATCAACAGGAAACCCCTTATCATGTGTTACAGGCGCTCCGAGCACCCCCCCGTTTGCCGCCGGCCCTAACCCTCGGCAAAAACCGATGGACCAGCGCGTGCGAGGGCGGGAGGCGGGCACACCAAGTGACGCAAGTGGCTACCTAATACTTTGCTAGTGGCGCTATGTTGTGTCGGTCATTTTTTGGTCTCGCCGCTCTTGCCCGACCAAGCGTCGTCGATGAAGGTCACGTAGTTCTTCACCAGCTGTTGTATTTGTGCGGTAGACCGACGAAACGATGGCGCCGGTATCGTACAAAGCCGAGCGGGGGGCGGAGTATGAGATCACACATATTGGTAACAATAACCCGTACACCAGACAACCCATACCAAGAAGAGCAGGGGGGGGACTTGGGGGTTTCCTGTACGGACGTTGTGGGTAGAGAGATTCATGCATCCAGCCCCAACAATCGAAAGTGAAAAAAAAAAGAGGTAGAATTGGCGCGTTCACTCGATCTTTACAATCCCTTTTCCGTACAGAGCGCAAACATTGCCTGTATTGCTACACACACATCCATCCATCCAGCGCACCCAATCACAACCATCACCAAGTCATTGTTACAACCCTTCTGCAACCTGACGAGGTACAGCTCGCACCATACAGGAGGCTAACCCCGACCCCCCGGACACACCTCCACCCCCCTTTACGGTGGCGGGGGGTCCGTTGGAAATGAAGCAAAAGAGTGAACCTGCCAGACGGTAGTGCAGGTGGGCATTAGATACTGCTGTGCCTCCGGTCATACAATACGGCGGTGAAAGCTTACCCATTTCTTTACTTTTTGCTCACCGAGACGTACTCCTCTCTCTCGTCCAGATGCGCCAGGTGGCCGCTCTCTTCGAAGCGCCTAGACTCGACGGGAGCGTCCCCTCCCGACAACCCCTGCGTGATGCCAGTGACAGTCTTGTCGCCGATGACATCCCGCCTGCCATGGAGGTTCAACGCAGTCCGACGAGTGACAATGCACGGCGTTTTTCAAACCCCAGGCGGAAAATAGAAAAAGGGAAAGGCGGGACGCACCGGGGGGGG